TCATCATGTTAAAATAAAACGTTCCATAATCAATTTTTTTTCCTTTTCTTTTTTCAATTTTTCCAGTTTTTCTGGAAAAAACAAAAAAATGGGAAAAAAACCGTCCCCGTCCCCCCCGAATTTTCCCGTTTTTTTTCCGGGCCTTCACATCTCTAGCCATGGCAGGCCACTTCCACTTATCTCTGCCCTGACCTGAATAGCCCAGGCTAGCCCGATCCTGTCAGATCTTGGAAGCTAAGCAGGAGTTGGCCCAAGTTAGTCCTTAGACAGGAGACCACTGAGGAAGACCGGGGTCACCACGCAGAGGCAGGCCTTAGCAGACCGCTTCTGAACGTCTCTTGCCTTGGAAACACTACTGGAGTCACTATGAGTCAGTTGTGACTTGAAGGCAAAAAACCCCCAACAAAAACAGTGTGGTGCGGTGCTCCCTCTAAGCCAGTGGTGGCGAACCTATGGCACGGGTGCCAGAGGTGGCACTCAGAGCCCTCTCTGTGGGCACATGTGCCATCGCCCCTGCCAGGCCCAGACCATCATTAAAGTGTCGAATTCTCTGCCAAATAATTTTAAGTAAATGAAAGCATTTGGGATTGCTTTCCTTACTTTGTTGGGATCATCTTAAGTTAATGTTACTTTGTTTGGATCATCTTAAGTTAATGTATGAGCTGTGGTGGCTCAGGTGGTTAAGACGCTGAACTGCAGGCTGTGGAAGGTCGGTCGGTCGGCAGTTCGAGACCCGAGTTGCCGCATGACGGAGTGAGCTCCCATCTCTAGTTCCAGCTCCTGCCAACCTAGCAGTTCGAAAGCAAGACATTGCAAGTAGATAAATAGGGTCTCTGAAAGGTTCGCCATCACTGCTCTAAGCTGTGGAGTCCTGTGAGCAAAGATTCTACTTGGTGAGCTGCTGGCGTTAAAGTTGTGAGCGAGCGATTTGGCCGCTGTAGTTTGCTCTGGAGCCATCCTTCCTGAGCTGAGAGAAAAATGTGTAAGCCGGAGGCTAAAAAATTATGAGCCAGCTCACGCTAACTCAGGTGAGAGGGAACACTGTTGTGGTGCAGAGGCATCGAACTCGTTTGTTATGACGGCCGGATCTGAGTTTAAAAAGTGACTTTGCTGGCCCAGGCCATGTGTGCCATAAATGTGATACCAGAGACAGCCACTGTACAAAGGACAGCCGATGGTAAGCTCCAAGTTGGTGTGTCCTTACTGCAAGGCCCCATGGGCTGGGAGCGGGGTGCAGAGGAAAACCCACACAGGCGGACTGGAGAGCCAGCAGTGCAGCGCTGGGCAGATGCTCCCATGCCCCAACAGAGGATTGCCTGCAAACACCCCCCCCAGTAGATCCCTACGGCCATGGGTTATTTCCTGCAGGAGCGCACAGGAGCAGAGCTCCGGCAGTAAAGAGCCCAGGGGGTGGGCACATGCAACAAGCCCCACCCCCTGCTTCCAGCAGCCCTCAGTCAGAGCAAGAAGCAGCCAGGTAAATTGCAGGGGCCTCCCCGGTCCAAAAAAAGTCCAGTGGCATCTTTAAGGCCAAGTTTTATTCAGGTACAAGCTCTCCCTCCTCTGCGAGGACAGATCTGCACATGTGTTCCCCCCCCCCAATAGCTAGCAATCCAAAACAGTCCAGTGGAGCCTGAGCTGTGGGTGTTGCCTTCTGACACACTTCCGGCGATGTCGGGCGGGGGGGTGGCATATGCAAATAAGTCATGCTAATGAGTTACGCTACTGAGCTCCTGCTCCTCTTTTTCTACGAAATGTCCCCTGCCTATGGCCCTCTGGGGCAGCATCCCTGGAGCTGCAGGCCGAGTAGAGAGGCATGAATGTGGCTGCAGTGGCCTCCAACTGACCAGTCCCTAAAGCGAAGGGGTTCTGCTTGACTTCATTGTCCCGCTGTGCTGAATCAACAGTTGGGGTGGCTCCACCTCCCTACCCCCGAGCAGCCCCCGTTTCCCTCCCTTGCACCAGTTGCTTGTGGACCACATAATGGCCCTGGACGGGCCGTTCCGGCCCTTATGTTTGACACCCCAGGGTTAGAGTGTTAGACAAGGAGCTGGGAGACTGAGGTTCAAACCCCCCACTCCGTTGCAAAGCTCACTTGATGAGCTTGGATCAGTCACTCCCTCTCCACCTTGCCTACCGTGCAGGGTTGATGTGAGGAAAAGAAAACCAGGTATGCCTCTCTGAGCTCTTTAGAAGAAGAAGAAGAGAAGAAGAGATTGGATTTATACCCCGCCCTTCACAACCCAAAGGTGTCTCAGAGCGGCTTACAAACTCCTTTCCCTCCCCCTCCCCACAACAGACACCCTGTGAGGTGGGTGGGGCTGAGAGAGCTCTGACACAAACTGCTCTTTTTCAAGGACAGCTGTGCCAGAGCTTGTGACTGACCCAAGGTCACATCAGCAGGTGCAAGTGGAGGAGTGGGGAATCAAACCCGGTTCTCCAAGATTAGAGTCCGCACACTTAACCACTACACCAAACTGGCTCTCTCTTTAGAGGAAGAGTTGGATAGAATTCCTATGGATAAACATGTCTCCCATCCCACCAAATTGCTGCTGCCCACACCAGTATTTGGATTCCGCTCCCCCCCTTGAATTTCTTCTATCCCCTGACCCTGCTGTAACGTATCTTGATATTGTATCTCCTCCCAACACCAGTTGCTCATAATCTCTATAGTCCTGCATCCCTGAATTCCTTCTGCCCATACACCTAGCACCTTTCACTCATTCCTTGTGGCCTCCAAATAACTTTGCCTTCTAGATCAGGGGTGTCAAACATGCAGCCCGGGGGCCGAATCAGGCCCTCGGAGGGCTTCCATCAGGCCCACAGTGGAACTGGCCATCTCCTGCTTCCAGTTCTGCTGCTGCATCATAGTTTGCTTCGCCAGACTCTCTTAATTACTCAGCCATTTCATGTTTTAACCTGGGTCCTACACTCAGAACTCTGAGCATGAGAATTCTGTGGTGAATGTCGATAAATCAAAAGTTGGTTTGCAGCTTACCGAGCTAATGTTTTAAGGATATTTTTATTTTAAATTAAAAAAAACCCTTTGTGTTTGTGTCCTTTATAAAGTTTATATCTCCGCTACCTGGCATTACATTTTATGACACACACGGCCTGGCCCAACAAGGTCTCATTTGTGTCAGATCCAGCCCTCATAACAAATGAGTTCGACACCCCTGTTCTACATGCTCATGTGGGCCCCCAAAGCAGGGTGAATTAAAATCACTAATCAGTAAGACTTGATTTAAATCATGGTTTTCTACACAAAGGGTCATTCTTGCTGGCTTTAATATTTGCAACCTAGATGTATTTTAGTATAATAACTTTTCTGGGTAGTTTTAGTTATATCAGAAAATTAATGATAGGTTATTTACCACTTGAAATAGATAATTATGAAATAATTGCAAGGTAAACTATCTCCAATTTAATAAGTTGTTAATTATTCATATTTAGACAGCTTTTCTGCTATGCTGTATTGGAAGGAGAAAAATAATCACTAACAGTAACCGTTTAAATTGTTTCATTTGACTAGAACAGTAACATCCAGACCTATTCCACCCCAAACAAATCTGATACTCATTGAACTTCTTGAAACTTAGCACTTGAGAGATAAGGGGTTGATTCTGTGTGCATAGATTTGCAGAGGACCAATCGGACTGAGGTCTGTATGTTTATCTTTTAACATTTTTGCTGTGAAGAAGAGGCACATGATCTCTGCAGACACAAGTTCAGTTTTGAGAACTGTAAAACCAAGCATCTGTGATAAGATATTCTAGATAGGAAAAACTGTCCAGTAATCTTACAGAAACCTCTGGAAGAGGATGACATTGTGAATGGATGAATGGAATGCATTTACCAAAATATTTAACATTGCATGAATATGCAGCCTCATGCTACATAATTAAAAACTAATCCTTATTTCATGAGGAATAACCTTTGGACTATAATGTATCTTAAATAGCTTTTTCCTCAAAAAGCATTTTATTTTAAAAAAATCCAATTTAAGTTTTAAAAAACCCAATTTAAATTAAAAATCCATTTTTAATTTTTTGTTTAAATCATTGATTTGTATCCACCCTGCCCCAAAGTGGTGTCAAGAGATGTGTTGTGCTTTTTCTTGCCTGCTTTCTCCCCAATGGGTTTAAATTCTGGCCGGAAAGGTATGGGCTAGATATCAGGACAATTTTTTTTATAGTAAGAGTAGTTCAGCAGTGGAATTTGCTGCCTGGGGAGGTGGTGAGCTCCTCCTCACTGGCAGTCTTCAAGCAGCGGCTGGATGAACACTTGTCAGGGATGCTTTAGGCTGTGTTGAACAGGGGGTTAGCCTAGATGGCCTGTATGGGCCCTTCCAAGTCATTCAATGGGGAGACCTTAAAGTAGCTGTTTTATTGCAAAGGAATTTCAGAAACAGACTAGAATGAGAGGTTGCTGAGTTACGAGTTACTACAGCACTCAGGGCAATGGAACCCCCAGGGCTTAACAGAGACATCAGCTTCTTATCTCACTACATATGCTAACGCCATCCAGTGCTTGCATCTGTTTGTGAACTCTTTTATTAGGCTGTATGATAATTTGCCGCTATGCACAGCTTTTACCAACTCCTTTAATCCAATCTTATAGTTATGTATACTACTTGACTCTTAAGTAGGTCTTCCTGGCAACAGCCCCATCCCCACCCTCTACCTATATGTAAAGGTTGGCGAGCTCTGTTTCAGTGTATCTGAAGAAGTGTGCGTGCATATGAAAGCTTATACCGTGAATAAAACTTTGTTGGTCTTAAAGGTGCCGCTGGACTCGGACTTTGTTGTGCTGCTTCAGACCAACATGGCTGCCCCACCTGAATCTATGCTTCTCCTCCTGCATTGTTTCTAACACTGGCCAGCCCAAACGTCCCTTCAAAACTCACAAGCAGGGTGTGGTAGACACTTCCTCCCACAATTGCCTTGTTGTTCCTCTTCCACCTTCAGCAACTTGTCTGCTTTTCCCCATTCTTGCTGCAGGGAGGTATTCAAAGCGAAACATCGCCAGACCGGCAAAAAAGTGGCGCTGAAGAAAGTGTTAATGGAGAATGAAAAAGAAGGGGTGAGTTGATACGGTGTGTGTGGCTTTAACGGTGGTAGTGAGCATATTAGCTGATGTACGTATTGTTGGAACTGGACATTAAAAGTGCAGATCTGGGAAGGCCCCAGGAGAGTCCTGCTGGAACAGGGCATCTGATCCAGCTTCCTGTTTCTGCTGGTGGCTGGACAGGTCCTTCTGGGAGGCGCATGCTGCCTCTGAACATGGGGTTTCCAGTAAGCCATCCTAACAAATTGACATTGGCGGTTGCTCTAGAAGTGTGGAGTCAATCTACCTTTAACGCCAAATGCTATCACTATATGCTTGTGGCAGCAAATTGCACATGTTAATATTTGCGTGCTTGTGTGTGTGTGTGCGCAAATACTGTTCACCTTTTCTCAGTGGTGAATTTACCATATGCCACTTCCATTGTGTGACACATCATGCATAAGCTTTGCGCTACGTGAGTGGGGTTGAAGCATTTGTATACTGGATAATTGCTGAAGCATTTATATACAAGCACCTTACAGATAACTGTTGCCAGTAATCTTAAATCCAAAGGGATTGGCATGTTAGTCAGCTTTACTAAAAGTATGCAGGAGTCAAGTAGCACCTTAAAAGACTGACACAGTTTATTTCCACATAAGCGTATGTTGTCTCATTTTTATCTCAAGTAAGGGAAAAATCTAGGTGCTGAAGAATCCCTTCTTTTATTAGCTGCTGTAGACTTAATGGCTAACTCTTTGGAAGGGAAGACCAGACCTTTGTGGGAATTATGGATAAACATATAAATGACCCTGAAATTCATTCATTCAAGGGAGTCTATATAGCATATAGGCTTTTAGGCAAAATAATATAGCAATAATAGAAATACACAAGGACCCTGAAATGCCTTTTTATTTTTTTGGAAAAGTGTCTTCAGTATACCGGACAAGCTGCTGCTTTCTGTAGGTTTGTTCGTTTCACTGCAATTTTAATAAAATCTGTGAAGGAGTGGAAGAGAGTGCTAAGCCAGTGTGTGCAGTCCTGTTTCCTATGGCACTAGAATCTTCAGAAGCCCTCCCACTGTGGCCCCCCAAGAACCAAGAATATAGAGCATCCCTGCCCCAGACAGAGTGTTCCATCTATACCTTGTGGCTAATAGCCACAGATGGACCTCTGCTCCGTATGTTTATCCAGTCCCCTCTTGAAACCGTCCATACTTGTAGCCGCCGCCACCTCCTGTGGCCGTGAATTGCATGTGTTAATCACTCTTTAGGTGAAGAGGTACTAATTTTGGTCTGTTCTAAACCTACTACTCCTTAATTTCATTGAGGGCCCATGAGGTCCTGTATTGTGAGAAAGGGGGATATTTCTTTCTCTACCTTCTCTATGTGGAGCTGCGGTGGCTCAAGTGGTTAAGACGCTGAACTGCAGGCTATGGAAGGTCAGTAGTTCAGCAGTTCAAGACCCGAGTGCCGCAAGACAGAGTGAGCTCCTGTCTCTAGTTCCAGCTCCTGCCAACCTAGCAGTTCGAAAGCAAGAAATTGCTGCAAGTAGATAAATAGGTACCACTTCGGTGGGAAGGGAACAGCGTTCCGTGCGCCTTGGTGTTTAGTCATGCCGGCCACATGACCACGGAAACGTCTTCGGACAGCGCTGGCTCTTCGGCTTTGAAACGGAGATGAGCACCGCAACCCTAGAGTCAGATTCGACTGGCTTTCGAGCAAGGGAACCTTTACCATTACCTTTACCTTCTCTATCCCATGCATAACTTTGTAAACCTCTTATCACGTCACCCCTCAGGCGTCGTTTCTCTGAGCTAAAGAGCATATGCTCTGCTCCAAGCTAAAAAGCATATGCTCTGCCACCGATCTATGTTCCCCAAGGTCAACCTGAGTGTCCTGTGCTCGTCCTTACCATAGCCAATGTTCATAACAGGCTCCGACCTTTGTTAAAGTCTCCTTATCACCTCTCTCTCTAGTTCCCCATCACGGCCCTGCGGGAGATCAAAATCCTCCAGCTCCTCAAGCATGAAAATGTGGTGAACCTCATTGAAATCTGCAGGACCAAAGGTAACAGGGCTCGCTAGGGGTAGGGGTATATGCTAGGGGTAGGGATAGGCGTGCAGATAATATTCCTGAGAAGCCAGGGCATTGACTAGACTTGTTGAAAGGCCTGGTTTGATTGGCGGAGTTCGCAGCCTTCGGAGAGCCATGGGGCCCCTGAAATGACCAGAAACTGGTTGTCCCTGAATGTCAAAAGTGCCTGGGGAGGAATTTACAAAGCTACCATGTCCTGAGTGTGAGTAGTGTAGCCCGACTGATAGCTGCTCTCCAAGGAAGGCCTTCCCTCGTTACTTTCTCACTGAGGATGCCAGGGATGGAACCGGGGACCAGGGCTCTTCCCACTTAGCTAGGCCAAAGGGGAAGAACTGTAGCCACAAGTCCCTTACGAGATGGACGTGTGTGTGTGTGTATGGGGTGTGTGTGTTGTGATAGATGATGGCAGCTTAGAGGATGGGTTTTGGCAGGGGCTGGGGTGCGAGTGGGATTTTTGGGTTGGTCTTGTCGGCTCGTGGCAGGGGGGCGTTACTCTTGAATGAGTTAAAACAGTACTGTTGTATTGCCGCGTGGTCTTTGAGGTGACCTGGTAAGGCAAAGCCTTATCAGATCTATTCGGTCCAGCATCCTTATTCCTCCGCCGGGGCCAGCCAGATGCCCCCAGAAGCCTACAAATCGAGACATCCCCCTCTTGCCCAAGCGAGTGGCAATCGGAGGGATACTGCCTTAGAACATGGAGGTTCCATTTAACCGTTGGCGCCCTCCTTGTCCGTGAAGAATCCCCCCCTTTAACGCCATCTACGTTCCAGGCAGGGAGGGAGTTCACAAGTTAACCGCGCACTGTGTGAAGAATCCCTTTCTTCTGCCTGTCCCGACCCTGCCCGTTGATGTCATTGGGTGCTCCCAATTTCTAGCGTTTTGGGACAGGGAGAGAAAGCTCTTCCACACTCTGCCCTTAACATCTCGGCCCGCCTGGTAGGGCAGGTGAAAAACCCTGCTGACGGTTGCTTCTCCAATTCCCACAGCCTCTCCGTACAACCGTTGCAAGGGAAGCATCTACCTGGTGTTTGATTTCTGCGAGCATGACCTGGCCGGCCTCCTCAGCAACGCGCACGTCAAGTTCACGCTGGCAGAGATCAAGAAGGTCATGCAGATGCTCCTGAACGGCCTCTACTACATCCACCGGAACAAGGTGGGGGATCTTCCCCTCGAGGCGCGCTCGCTTTGCGTGGAGACGGAATGCTCGGGTCACTCCTCGCTCCCCCGGAAAACGGCTCTTCTTGACC